GCGCCTTTTTCTCTGTTTCCATTCGCACCCTGCCAGACTCTTAACTCTCCTTTTCATAGAAGCCTTAGATCTACAATTTAGCTATGCAAATTACTTTAATAATTTAAAAATAGCCGTTCCAACCAGTGCTTTCTCTTTCAGACGCAGCCCGGGATTGGATGGTGAAGGGTCTCAGTTGGCGTGGGCTTTCGGGGTGAGGCTGGCGCTGCAGCAGCGAGCCAGGCGGGGTCTCCGGCGCACAGAGCCCACTCGCAGCCTGGGCCACAGCGGACGCCTCCGAGGCCCGGAGCCCTGGGGTCCCAGGCGCGTGTGTGCACTCGAGCACGTGCGTGTGTGCGCGCGTGATTGGGGAAGGAGGGGTATTTCTGTGCGCACCTCTAGACAATCACCGCAGCAGGCTCTGAGACCCGGGAAGCTGTCCCAGCGTGGAGTTGGAACCGGTCCCTGGCGGGGTGGGTGCTGGAAGGTGCCAGGAAGTGGACGGGCATCCTCAGGACAGCACGGGCCTGCTCTGGGCCTGGTGCTGCCAGGAGCTGGGTCTCTGACGTGGGGGACGCCGTGGTGTGGGGGGCAGACTGGCTCCAGGAGGCTCCAGGCGACCTGTGCGGCTCCGCTCTTCAGGCCGGTGGGGGTAGGACCAGGGGACATCGCAGTGCCGTCGGTTCCGGGGTCCGGGTTCGTTCTTTAGGGGACCTGGAGACCCTTCCCGGACTTCTCTGCTGGCCCTGCCTGTGCGCTGGTGGGCAGTGCACGTGCGCACCGGACGGGGCCTGTGCGGGAGGGGCGGGAAGTGCCCCCAAGCCCGAGGACCCTGTTCGAAGCGCTCGGGCCAGACGCGCCTGGTGGCGGCTTCCAGCTGCCCCGCAGGCCCACATGAGGGCAGGACAGTGGTGCGAGGCGGCAGAAGGTCAGGCCTGGGCGTTTTCCCTCACTCCTTCCACGGAAAGTTCTCAGGCTCCTTCCTCAAGGCCCGTCTGGTTGGTGTAGCCTGAATCCTCAGCCTAGGGAACACAGTCCAACTTAATGGTTCAGGATTCCCATTTGTAGTGATGTTTGATTTCCTTTTCTTAATATCTTTGTGGGTAAAAATTAAACAGACAGAGTAGCCACTTAAGCAAGGAAGTGAGCGAACTGAGTGGGGTCAGACCTGCTTCTCCAGACCGGATATCTGCTCGCTCTCACCCTCTGGGCTGTGCGTGCGTGGGCCTCTCTCCGGTCGCCTCCTGCCTTCAGGGGAACTCGCGCCTCGCCTGGGACTCTCTTCCCTAGGAGTCAGTCACCAAATCTGTGTGGTGTGGTCTGCCACTAAATATGGAATTCCCCACCCCAGGGCCCGAAGCAAAGCCAGGGTGAGGTTTCACGGATAATTGAAACACTCAGCCAAACTGGAGCCGTCCGGGAGGCCGGCCGGCCACTCCCGACCAAGGCCGCCAGCAGAGCGAGGTCCTCTGCTTCCGTCTGGGCGAGCCTGGCGTTGCTCCGGAGCGGAGTCCCCGTCCCGTGGGGGAGGTCTTCGGGGGGCTTTACATTCCTCGTTCCCAGTGTTCCTGGCCGTCACCCCGTTCCTCCCGTCCCCCAGCCCCCCGTGACTGCTCAGGAGACCAGTCCGTCGCCTCTGAGCCGCAGTCTCCTGTACACCCACCAAGGGGCTCTCTTCCAGCCCAGACTCCTGAGCAAGAAGCTCCTGTCCCTGGTGGGCCCCCCGGAGACTCTCTGGCCCTCTGCTGACCTCCCAGGGAACCCGCACCCCAAGGCCTGTCTGAGAACGCTTCACTCCGTCCGTCACCCCAGACTCCATGCCCCCCCCGGCTGCCGCTGTTCCTCCTCCCTGTGTACTCACTGTCACCTCTTCGTGTCTGTCTGTGCCACTAGCTGGCCCTGGGCCTTTTATGAATCCCCGCGTCTTACGATGAACTTCCCAAGCAGGCAGCATCCAACTTCTTTGCTCTTCAGGGACCTGAGTCTGCCGCCTTCCTCTCTCGTGGGCCTGTTTGCTCTGGTAACCTGGTGCCCTGGGGAGAGGTGGCCCGGCAGGCTGCGGAGTCCGTAGGGCAGAGGCCGGGGGAGGTGGGGGTGCTCTCTGTTACCACTGCTGGGGTGATGTGTGGAAGAGGGGAGACCTCATACTGTGACCTGATCCAGGACCCTCCCCTGGAAGAGAGATTAGCCCAGGGGTGTGTGTGTGTGTGTGTGTGTGTGTGCATGCACACACACGCCTGCTCATGTGCACATGAGTGTAAACTTACTGTTGTCTGGTTGTGTTACTCAGGGTGGGCTGAGGACTCACCAGAAGAATCCCCTTAGCCTGCTCAAGACTGGTTTTTCCTGTGCCCCCTCCAGAGGGGTCGGGAAGGGGGTGCAGGTGGGTTGAGGGGGTCACAGTGGATAACCACTAAGGCCACACTGCTGCCAGAAGGAGTAGGGGAGATGAGGTGGCCCCAGGGACCTGGCACCTGGCTTCGGTTTTCCGTCTTCTTTCCTCAGGACGCCCCCTGAGGCCCGGGACCCGCGCCTGGCTTTGAGGAGCACCTGGCGGCCGGTGCTCTAGCTGCTGGTGTGGTCAGGGCTTCCCTCCTCTCTCAGCAGGGCAGGTGCTCCTGCCCCGGAGACTGGGCAACTGGCTGTTTCTATGACGTATTTATTTTTACTTGTGTTTCATGTCACTTTTTTAAAAAAGCAAACAGAACAATTGTAAGTCAGTATAACTGCCTATCAGTTTTCTTTATTTCTCTTTTTGTAAAATAAAATTTAAACTCAAGAAGGCAGTGTTATTTGATCAAGGAACTGTGCGCACGGCTGTTTGGCTGGTGGTGGCGAAAGGGATGTAACTTAGAGCATAGTGGGGTGGCGCTTGTGGGGGGGAGCAGGGGGCAGGCAAGTGGCCGGGGCCTTTGCTCGCCCGGAGGGAACTGCATTTCGGGGCCCCACAGGGAAGAGGGAAGCAGACTCAGGGTGGCTTGAGGCCAGCTGGTCCTCAGTCGTGGCCCGTCCTGCAGGGGCAGCCCTGGCTAGGCCCCGAGCCGCTGGGAGTCGGGTGCGGCGGTGGCCGCCGGCAGGGTTCGCCCAGCACCTTCCGTACACTGCCTCTGTTCTCCCCTTGGCGTCCGAGTTGGAGGACCTGACCACTGCGTCCTGGAGAGCTAGCCAGGACTTTGCCACTTCAGGGCTAGGGAAAGGAGGGGCGTGTCCACTTCAGTCCCCTTAGGGGGTGCCCTGGGGAAACTTTCTCTGGAAATTCACTAAGGGAGAATCCACGAGCCTGTGGGAAGCAGGAGACAAAGGCCAGATGCGGGCTCGTGAGGAAGAGGGAACGTGTGTTGTTGGGAAATAGGACTGGGGTTCGGCGGAGGATGGGGTGCGGGGAGGCCAATGGCTAGGAGAGCTGGTCTGTTTAAGGTTAGATGCCCGGTCCACGAGACGAACGTGCCATCGCTGCTGCCTCCTGGTGGCCAGTGAGGGCTTTGCAAGGACCCTACCAGGGGCGGGGCTTGCCCTGGTGGGAGCAGCCTGAGATGCAGGCGGGTCCCAGGCAGACTCCGCTGACGACAGACAGCGGCGCTGAAGCCGCTAAGGCACACCCTGAACTCGGACGTGGGGCCCTGGAGTTCCCCAGCCAGGCTAAAGGAAGTGAGCAGAGCAGACAAGATGAAGTGAGGGCAGCTCCAGACACCGGTTTCCTGGGAGAAGTCCGTGAGCTTCTGAGCAGCAGAACTGACCTGCAGACCCTGCAGGTGGAGGCGCTCTTAGCCAGGGCCCTTCCTCCTCTCACAGGAAATGCTTCCTTCCGAGCGCACAGCCCACTTGCCTGGCGCACCCACGGGGTTTGACAGTGGTGTGCCCCATGTTCACAAGCAAGGCAGAGCGGCCCCGACCCTGCCAGCGTAGCCCTGAGAAACTGCGAGGTGCAAGCTGTCCCTTCTGCGTCTGCCGAGAGGCCTGGGGTGGGCGTGGCCCTGCAGAGGAGGTTCTGGCTTCCCTGCCCCCAGAGGGAACCAAGTGCAGCTCTGGGCGGGGAAAGAAGCCAGGAGGGCGAGGGCCCTTTGCTAGTGCAGCCACGGGGTCCGCAGTGACATGGCTGCCCTCCCAGGCATCCATCCATCCTCCATGCCCGGGCCATCCAGGTACCTCCTGGCCCAGCAAAAGGTGCCTCCACTGCAAGACGGGGTCCCTCGGGGCCCTGGAAGGGTGCTTTGTTGCTTGTAGGTCCTCAGAAACAGGAGCTGAAGATTGGACCTGCCTCCGTGGGGCCCCACTTGACCTGGGAGTTGCCTGGTGTGTGCTAAGCTAGAGGGCCCGGAGGGAGGAGCCTGGGACGGAGGTTCCCGGGGTGAGCCCCTGGTGGACGGGGCCTTGGTTTTGTTCCCTCAGTATCCTCAGCCCCTAGCACTGTCCAGCTGGCTGGTGGATCCTCTCCCCCACCCCCGGGCTGTGGTTGGGGGTGGAGTGCGGTGCAGTGTTGGAGGTGGGCAGCTGGCATCCAGCCTGTCCACAGGTTGGGTCCACTAGCTCCTGCCTGCAGCCCAGATTGGCTTCGGTTTCCTCAGCCGTAAGACGGGAGCAAGCGACCCTGCCTTGTTCTGTTCCCAAGTCTGTCGCGAAGCCTCAGCGAGAGCAAGTGGCAGGACCGCCGACCCGCTGCACAAATGCCGGAGACCGCTGCAAACGCTCTCCTCTGGCGCCGGCTTCCTGGACCCCAGCCTGGCTCTCCCTCACCGGCCGCCAGGTGGACCGCCCTTCACGCCTGGGCTGTGCAGCCGTGGTGCTCTCGCCGACCCAGATGCCGAGGGGTCCTCGGCACCCCAGGAGTGGGTGGGAGGCAGGAAGGTGCCGGGTGGGTTCCGCCCCTGACAGATGGGGAGGGGGCGGAGGAAATACACGCACACTGGTTGCCTTGGAGACGGGGCGGGGCAGGCCCCTGCCTGTCGGGTCCCGCGCACGCGCCCACAACCTCGGCCACGTCCCCGCCGTGAGAGGGGGCGGGGCGAGCGTGCGCCGCCGGGCGCGCGCAGGCTCCGCGACGGAGCCGGAGCCGCCTGCGCGCATCGGTGTCCGCGGCGGGTAGCCGCTGAGGTGAGAGCCGGTCGGAGGAAAAGCGTTCCTGCCGGGACAGCCTCACGCGCCCCGAGTGTCTGGGGACTCCCTCCGCCCGGGCGCGGCCTCAGGGTCCCCCCGCGGCCCAGGCCCCTCTTTGCATCCCGACCCGCCCGCCACTAGCCCCGACCGGGTCCCAGGGCCTGAACCTTGGACCAGCCCCACCGCCCCCGGCTGCCTCCGGCCTCGGCCGCCGGTGCGGGGCGCGTCCCGGGGCACTTGAGACCGAGGGTAGGGTGAGGGGAGCGGGGGCGGAGCCGCACCTTGGCTCCGCCCCCGTCCCCCGCGAGGCCGTGCCTCGAGCCCGGCTGCAAACTTTAGCGTCCCCGAAGTTTCTGTCTCGGCTGAAGAGGAAGGGACTGGGTGAATGGACGCGGCGCGGCCGAGCAGGGCTGGGAGTCCGGGCTGGGAGGAGGAGGCGTCCCCTCCCCGCCGGTGCTGGTCGCGGGGCCCTTTAAGGGCCAGCCCGCCGCACGTGAGCGGCTCCAGGAAGCCAGCGCGACCGCCGCCCTGACGCTCGCGGGGACCAGCTGGAGGCCACCACCCCGGGGGCTCCAGAGGGGGCCTGGCGGGCCCGCGGCCCGCGGCAGGAGGGGCTGTTTCGGGGCCAGGTGCGGTGGCTGGAGCCCTCCTGGAAGAGGGCTCTCTAAGGTCAGGGCCGAGGAGCCTCCTTGGGGACGCCGAGTTTGGCTTCTGATTTCCCCAAGGGGGATGAGGACGCGGTGCGGGGGGACCTTGTGATGAGGGGGAGTTCTTACAGAGGCCCGGGGGCCAGGTGCCCGGCTCAGTGGTGGTTGTCTCTTTTCTGCCCCCCGCCCCCCGCCCCGTGCTGGAGCACTTGGAACACCCAGTCCCCGCCGCGCTGGACACCATGAGTTGCTAAAAGTGAGCCTGACTTTTCAGGTGAGCTGCCCCGGCCCTGCGCCCCTCGCCGTTGACTGTGGGGGAGCTCTGAGCCCTCCGCTCGGTTTCCCGCCTTTCCTGAGACTTGAGGACGTGAGAGGAAGAGCCAGGTGGGGGCTGAGTTCCTCTGAGGGGACGGGGAGTGTGCACCCCGGGCGGCAAGTCAGAGAGGGGGCAGGCCACTCCCCAGGCACCTGGGGGAGCTGGACACCCAGAGCGTCCAGCCGGGAGCCCTGGCTTCAGAGAAGTCCAGCGCGGGTGCAGGGCGTGGGCTTTTCTCCAAACCCAGTCTCGAGAGAGGGGAGAGACAGAGAGAGAGGAAAGGGGGGGCCTGGGACCAGACTCCCCGGGTTCCCTTTGCCTGCGTGTTGGCCCGTGCCTGCTCAGTGCCTGCGTGACCTTGGGCCAGCCTCCCAACTTCGAGCCACTTGCTTCCTGACCCGTGTCTCCCTCGTTCTGAGGGCGAACGAAGGAGCTGCATTTCAGCGTCGAGACAGTGGGTGGCAGGTAGTCAGTCCTTGGTGAGAGAGCCATCCTCATCATCATCATCATCATCATCATCATCGTGGGAGAAAATGGGAGTGGCACTAAGGGGAGGCAGGGAGCGTATCCAGGAAAAGGCGCAGGGGCAGGGACACGGGGGGCGGGGGGGGGGGGTGGAGCGAAGGCCAGGGAGACGCCGCAGCGCCCGGCACCACTGTGTGCATGTTGCCTCCAGAGACGGGATTTTGGCAAAAAATCTCAACACACAGGACCCACAGGGAACAGATGACTCCATACAGCGAAGTTTTCCAGTGGGCTGAAGTGTTGACCTTCCGCTCCCAAAACTTTTAAATTTTAAGTAGTTGGGGTCCCATGCTCCCCCTCCTTTTTAAACAGGTTTCTCTGCACCAGGATTTCTTTTCCCTGCTCCCCACCGCCCCCAGCCCTCTGTGTGAGGGTCAGGCCTCTGCCCCAAGGGCCCAACCTGCCAGGCTTCTGTCTTGTGTTGTGTCCCTGGGCCTGTTCCTGGGTAGTGTCTCTGCTGCTGCTGCTGCTGCTGCTTCTCCCCCAGAAATGCGTGTCTTTATTCTTTGTACTGTATGAATAGGAGGGACAGGAAAGGCTAGCGGGGAGGGCGCAGACTAGAGAGGTAAATGGCACACACAAGAGGGAAAAAGGATGCCTTTCTGGAACTGCCGAGCGAGCGCAGGAGGTGGGGCGGGGAGGTCAAAACCAGGGGGACTGAATCCCAAGCGCCTGGAGCTGTTGGGGTGGTGAGGCACTGGGCCGCAAGCGGGCCCCAGCTGCGGTCCCTCCGCCCTCAGGCCAGCCCCCTTGCCTTAGGGGATGAGACACTCGGCCCGGGGATGAGGAAGTTACTTCTCCCGCTGTCATGTCTCCACTCACAGTGGCCTCTTCCTCCTCCTCCTCGCTGTCTGCACCTTGGGCTGAAAGGTGGGCTGAAGCGGCGCCCGTCTGGGAGGTGCCGTGCTGGACTGTGTTCCTGCTGTGGTCTGGCCTCCTCCGTTTCTGGGCGGGGGAGCTTGCTGGATGGCACGACTCCTGGGGCCCCATGTGCTTAGCCCGGGAGAGTGTCCTGTGAGTCTCTTCCTCCAGCACACTTCCCCCTGGCGTTTGGCTCCTTGGGGGTCTCCCTGCTTGTCCATGAGTGTGTGCCCTCTAGCACTGGCTTGTCACCCCCCCCCCCACACACACACACACAGGGGTCCTCGAGGCTTGGGGAGGCTGGGCAGGTGTGGGCCTTAGCTCTGGGAAGGAAGAGGCATGTGGAGCGGGGCGGGGGGGGGGGGGGTGCGGTGGCAGGCAATCCGACAGCTGGTCCATCCCAGGGGAAGCTGGTCAGGGCTGGAAAATGTCCCTGGCTGACTCACTCTTGTGCCCTCCATGACTCAGTTTCCCGAGGTGGGACCAAGGCCGCCAGCTGACCGGCAGAGCAGCCAGCTCTGAGAGCCTCCGTGATTGTGGTTAGGAAATAAGGAGGCTTGTGGCTTCAGTCACCCTTTGTAGATGACTCTGTGCGTCCTTCTGGGTCACTCTGTGTGTAAACACCTCTGGCCACTCCTCCTGGGTCAGAGCACCCAGGGCAGGGCTGAGGCTGGGCCAGAACTGGCTGGCGGGCGGGTGGGCACCTTGGTCGGGGCAGGCTACCAGCCTCCCGTCTCTCCTGTCTCCTTCGCAGCTGCCTTGGGGCGCGGCGTCAGGGGCACAGAGCCATGTCGGACCTGCTACTCCTGGGCCTCATTGGGGGCCTGACCCTGCTGCTGCTGCTGACGCTGCTGGCCTTTGCCAGGCACTCAGGCCTGCTGGCTGGGGTGGCTGTGAGCGCCGGCTCACCCCCCATCCGCAACGTCACCATGGCTTACAAGTTCCACGTGGGGCCCTACAGCGAGACGGGGCGGCTCTTCACGGAGAGCTACAGTGTCTGCCCCAGGCTGCGCTCCGTTGCCATCTACTACGACAACCCACACCTGGTAAGGAGCCCGCCGTGCCCAGCTGGACTTGCACCCCCGGGTGGGTGCGGGGCGGGGCTCGTTGTGTTAGGGGCATTTGGGTTTCTGAGGGAGCAGTGGGAAAATCTGAGCCGGCCCTGCGGACCACCTCCTCTCTGGCCTCAGAGCCCCTCCAGATGTAGCCTGGGCTTCTGTCCGCCTGTGGGAGTGTGTGCTGGTTTTCTCCTCGCCTGGGTCTGACTCCCCTGGGTCAGGGCTGCCCACGGACCTCTGAGTGTGGGGGGGACCGTACCACTATGAGTCCCTAGCCTCTTCTCCTCGTCGTCCCTCCCTCTTCCATGCCCATGTGAGGCCAGTTCGCTGAGCCCAGGCCTTTTGGGGCCAGAGCCCTGCCCTGTGTTTGGGGCCATAGCGGGTCACCTCAGTGCCTTTCCTCGCCCAGCGCTCTGCTGCGGTGGCAGCTTCCCCAGGGCCGAGAGCAGAGGCCCTGGGCGTGGGACTTGGAGTCCCAGCCCTCCAGCCACTCTGTGACCCCAGCCCAGTTATCGGGCATCGCTTTGGACATGAAGCCGCCTGGTTTGGAGGAGGCCTCGGGAGGCAAGCGGAGCCAAGCAAGCTGCCCAGCATGTCTGAGATGCTGGGGTCAGAGACCAGCCCAGCATCACTGGCACCTGTGGGCGTCCGGCGGGACTTACAGCCTGTAGTGAGTCACGGCTCACCAATGTGGCCTCTCGCCATGCCCTGGGCGGTGCTGCCCACGGCTGCAGGGGCTGGCAGCTCTGCCAAGGGCTCTTCAGCCTCCGGCCCTGAGCCTTGGCAAACCAGACGTTTGGAATCCCCGGCTCTGGGGCCCTCACCTGGTGAGCTCACGTGGACAAGGCCTCCCGCCTACCCGTCTTGTCTCCTGGCCAGGCCTGCCCGGGGCACTCCGTCCAAATGGGCGTGCTGACTGCCTCTCTGTGCCGGGTGCTGCACGACACCTGCACTCTGGAGAGGAGCAGGCGTGGCCCCGCCCTCAGGAAGCTCCCTGTGGTTGGCACGTCAGCCCCACACAGATGAGTCTCCGGCAGGGCGCTGTGCTCAGTGCCCACAGAACTCTGAGCTTCGGGTTTGGAGGAGGGCGCCGCAGGCCTGCCGGGGAGGCTCCGAGATGGGTCTCAGCTGGGCCGTGTGCCGCTAGCAGAATCTCGCTGTGCCTGGGAGGGCCTCCTGGCTGAGGGAGCCGCAGCAGCCAAAGCCAGCCGATAGAGGATGACGGGAGAGTGTGGCCGGGGCCCTTCGGTGGGTGGAGGACGAGGTGGAAGGGTCGCGGGGTCAGGCAGTGGGAGGTACAGCAGGTTGGGAGGGAAGGTGCAGCGCAGTTGGCCGCCTGCGATTTAGGGCACTACCTGGAAGGCAGGTGGAGGAGGGCGGGAGACGAGGCAGAGAGGCCTTTGGTGATGTTGGGCCGGGACCTGTGAGAGGTGACGTTGCCTGGCGGAGGGATAAGAGACATCAAGGTTCCCAGGGCACGTGGCTGGGAGACGGCACTAAGGGTCAAAAGCCCTGGGACCCCAGGGAGATGGGGCAGGCCTGTGGGAAGCCCTTGGACAGGACACCCGACACACCGGTGCCCCGTGGGGGTCCCTTGTGTGAGTCCCTGCCCTCCTGCCACGCCCGCCCGGTTGGAGTCCTCTGGGGGGCTCAGTGAGAGGGGGGAGGGTCCTCACAGCCACCTTGTTCCTCGCCATCTACCTGTCCCGGTCCCATAGCAGCACGTCGCCTCACTGGTTGGAGGTGCTAATCCCTGGACGCAAAAGGCGACAGGTGCCCTGGGGAGGGAGGGGATCGGTGCTGGAGGCTGGTCCAGGGAAAACTGAGAGAGAAGAACCCCAGCTTGGGGCACTCTCACAGAGCCTCTGGGCCCAGCCCCTGCCTCCAGGCAGCCCTCCTGGAGGTGCAGTAGGCCCTGTGGGCCACCAGGGTTGGCTGGGTAGGCCTGACTTGGGAGCCAGTGTGGGGACCATGGCCTTTGAGTTCAGCCTGGGCCTACGACCTCAAGGCCAGCATTGTGGGGTCCTGGATCTGTCTCTGCACTGTCCTGCTGTGTGATTTTGGGTATATTACTTCCCCTCTCTGAGCCTCTAGTTCCTCATCAGCAGAGTAGCGTTAAAATGCCTGCTTCGTCAGCAGGCTGGCCGGGGTTAAAGTGAGGGACATGGGTGAGGCCCTCGCCCACACCTGGTTCTCCGTGGACATTTAACAGCCACAACAAAAAGGGCGGGAAAGACACTGGAGCTGCTGAGGTGTGTGTGGACGGGTTCGGCGGAGGGCTTGTGACCCAGGCCTAAACCCAGGGTCTGGCGGTGGACGCTTGGCCGCACAGAGGATGGCTGTGCAGGTAAACGTGGCCCCTCTGACCCTGTCCCTCCTGGTTCTGGGTCACTCCAAAAGACACCTGTGTCCCCATTCAGAGCTGGGTCACACCCTGACCCCTGGATATGTCAGGAATGCTTGCTGCCGCCCACTCTGGAAGCTGGCCAGCTCACTCCCTGCCCAGCCCTCCCGGTGGCCACGGCCATCCTCCGTGAGGGCCCCTGAGGAGGGGGCGGCAGGTCAGACAGCAGGAGTGGGGTCCCCATCTCACACAGTAGACGCGTTCTTTTGTGTTTCTGTCCAGTAAACACCTGCGCCTCTCTGTGCTGGACCCTGGGGCCCTGTGGGGACCGAGGAGCCCAGCCCTCAGACCCGAGCTCTCAGTGTGGGGGCGCCAGGGGGAGAGGCCCCGTCCAGGCCTGAGGGAGCCTAAGAAGCCGGGCCTGGTGCTCCCGAGGCCACCGCCCCCAGCAGTGGCCGCACGGGGGCGACACTGTGGTTCAAGAAGGAAGGGACGGGCTGTCAGTGAGCTGTTGGAGCCTCCCCCACTCTCCCCCCTCCCCAGCTCTGCACAGTGGGAGCCAGCACCTGCGTCTCTGTGAGAGTGGGAGGACGGGAAGGAGGCCCTTTCAGCCTCGGCCAGTAGAGCAGTGAGTGACCAGCAGAGAGCTGGCCACCTGCTGTGGACCCGCTCACCCCAGGAGTGGGCACGCCCCTAGCCTCAGCTCCTAGCTCAGCTGGCCAGGGCGAGGCTACTTCCTGAGAAGGCCTGGTGAGGCCTCACCTGGGCCGGCTGTGGGCGCAGGAAGTGACTCAGGAAAGGGCACCACCGAGGCAAGATCGTGGTGATGGCTGTGGACACATTCACGTCAGAGGCTGCTTGAGCCCCTGTACCCTAGAGATAGGCAGGTGGATAGGTAGATCATCGCTTGTATGTCAGTCAGCCCCGTGTCCTGGACTTCTGGGTGGGAGGAGGCTGCAAGGTCGGAGCACATGGTTCTTACGGGGCCGGAGGAAGATGCTCCTCTCCACCCCTGAGGGCCCTGGTGGAGGCCGGGGGGGAGGGGAGGAGCACGTGGCAGGAAGTGGACAGACCCCGGCAGTGTCTCGTAGGTGCCCTTCTCCTTCGAGGGCCCAGCATTCGTGGAGTGCAGCCATTTCCTCTTCTAAGTGCTGGGAGGCGTTGTGGGGAGTTCCAGAGTTAGTCACTGACCTGTCATCCCTCCCTCCCACCAGAGCGCACACGGCGCGTGCACGCACATGTGCAGACACACACATGCACACACACGCACACAGGTCCAGTGTTTGTGGCCTTGTCCCTGTGCAGCTGGAATAGGGTCATATGTCCTGTGCCCTCAGCCCGGCTGGGTGCCTTGGGTGCAGGAGACGGGGGAGGAGCTGGGAGGACCCCGAGTGCCTCCCTGGACCCTGCAGCTCTGGCCTGTGGACAGGCCCTAGTGGCTGGGCTTCTGTCACCATGCCTGTTGGTCTGTCCCATTTGCCAGCCTGGCCCTCCACCTCCATCCTCACCCTCTGCTGCTGCCACCTCCGCTGCTGTGTCTGGGGCTTGAGCAATCCGCCTGCTTGCCTTGTGGGGAGCCTGGCTGAGACACGTGGGGCGGGGCAGCGGGCTCAGGACCTGGTGCAGGCCTACCGGGGGTACCTGCCTTGGGCGTCAGTGGGTGGGGGAAGCTGGCAGCACCTGGGTTCTGCCATTTGCAGCAAGACTGCCACGGACACCCCTTTCTTCCCCCGTCTACGGAGAGGCAGCCTGGGGCTCCCTGGTCGGTAGGGGCTGACTGATAAGAGTTCTGCCCAGGCCTGTCAGAATTTTTGCGAGTGGGGCATGGGGCCTCCTCAGAGGCGCTCCTCAGAGGCGCTGAGGTTGCGTGGAGCCTGGGAAGAGGTGAGGGGGTAGGATTTCGCAGGTTCAACCCGGCGGTGTGGGTGGAGCGTGGGCCGGGCTGTTGTTCCCAGGGGCCTGGCCATCCCCCCCCTCCAGCCATGCCCTCTCCTCCGCCGCGTGGGTCTTCAGGTGGGGGTGGGCCTCTGCTCGGCAGCCAGCTCGCTGTGCGGGGCAGCCCTGGAAAGGTGAGCCCCTCTCTGCGCAGCAGAGCCGCCTCTGGGAGGGAGGAGAGGTGCGGTCCGAGGGGAGAGGACTTTGGGTTTGAATGGGTTTGAATTGAGGCGTCACTTGGTCTGAGAATCCCTGCCTCCGGGCTTTTGGTTTTTAGGGGGACTAAACACTGGGGATGAGACCCGGCCCCCAGCCCCTAACACGTGCTTAGCACTCCGGGAATCCGCAGGGGGGGTTCAGAGGGCCCTGTGCTTGCTGGGAGGTTGCAGTTTCAGGAACCTGCCCCTGGCCCGGTGCCCTGGAGGTCGCCTAGGCCATGGAGGGGCGCGCAGTGGAGGAAGAGGGCACTGTGCCTTCCCATTCTGGGCCCACTTCTTGGGCTTCCCAGTGGCCATGGGCTGTTTGGCACAGGTCTGGAGCTGGTCTGCCTGGTTCGAGTCCTGACTCCATCACTGCCTTGCTCTGCAGCCTTTGCTGAATAGCTTTGCTCTCTGGGTCTCAGGAACGGTAATGGTGCCTACTGCTCAGTGCTGTCTGGATAGTGAGCTGAAGCACGGAAGGCAGCGACTGGGGCGGGTGGTGGGCACCTTGTCAGGGCCCAGCTGGGTGCTGGGGTTACACTTGGGGGTGAAAAGAGGGGGGCTGGAAGACTACTAGATGGGGGCTTCCAGAAAGCACCTGGACCCCCTTCAGAGGTGGGTATCTTGCTGACTCCTCTCCTCCAGCCTGGGGTCTGCACTGTCTGTGCCCTGATGCTAGCGCGCCCCACCGTGCCTTTAGACCCCAGCTGCTCGGTGAGGTTCGGCCTGCAGGGCTCAGTGAGTTGGCCTGCAGGACCCGAGGGCATCAGTCAGTCCGAGGTTCACCCTCCGGCCGTGCTCCCCAGGGGCAGCTGTGCAAGTGACAGGCACTAACTACCCTGCCCGTCTCACCGCAGGCGGCTCTGGGCTGGGCGGGCTGGCCAGGTGCGAGTCAGAGCAGCCCTCTGGGGCTGGCCACGTCTGCTGAACCCAGGACCTGGGTTTGGTCTGAGCCGGCAGACACCGCTTTCCCTTTCTGGTTCCTGGAAGACGGTTGATCTCGTCCACTTTCCAGACGCAGGGAGGTCTTGACCATGCAGGGACCCTATTCACCACGGCCTCTCCAGAAGGGGCGGTGGGGCCGACCGGCACCTGGCAGGGCTGGACCCCGAGCAGGACCTCAGCGTGTGCTCCCCATCTCACCCGCGGTGCTCAGACTCAGGGCCTCCCGGCCCTCAGGAGGGGTCCCTCCGGTGTTCTCGCCGTGAGGGCAGGTTCTGAGCGAGCCTGCCTTTGCCCAGAGTTGTGGTGGGCCGCCACTGCCAGTCTCCCTGGCGTGGCTCATCACTGGAGCCAGTGCTGGCCCAGCTCTTCTGCACACGGGTACCCAGAGAAACGACTGCCGTGGGGTGGGGGCAGATGGGAGCAGGCGGGTGGAATTGGGAGGCCCAGGCTGACCTCCCGAGGCCAGGCCCCAGTAAAGAGGTTGCATCGCACTCAGATGCGGGGGTTTCCAGCCAGCAGAGCATCCCCACCTTCCAGGTCCTTTACAGCCTCAGCAGGCCACTCCCCTGCAGGTTTCCGGGAAAGCCTTCCTCTGCCCCCAGACCAGCTTGGCCTAGGGCCTGTCTCGTCTCCTGCGGGTGCCTGGTTCGGTGTCCTCCCAGCTCCAGCTCGGTATGGGGCTGCTTAGCTGGAGGTAAGCTTGCTGAGCAGTCTCCTAGGCTGCTCCCTTTTCACCAGCCAGGGCAGCGGAGGGCACAGGAAGTGTCCCCGCTTGTGGACTTGAGAGGATGCTTAGGCAGGAAGGGAGCACCGGGGCGCCAAACACCTCTCAGGTCCCGGAGCCCATCTCCTCGTTAGCTGCTCCCCTGTCCTGTGACAGGAGCTCCTCCCCTCTCCAGGGGGGTGGGGGGGGCTTACCCCCAGGGTAGACTTGTGTGCGCATCTCCGCACGCACGGACTGTCTCAGAGCACACCACAAGGACACCCCATGGGTGCGAGGTCCTGGGCTTTCTGCTGGAGGCCCCGGGTGGTGGGGCATCGGCGACAGTGCAGCCCAGAGCCTGCTCCCTGCAGGAGGCCTGCGGGTCCAGAGAGGCGGGGCTGCTGGGTGGGGGGCCGTCCGAGGCTTTGAGGAGGAAAGGTGAGCTGACTCTTACCGGGTGGCGGGCGGGAGTTTCCCAGGTAGAAGGGACTCTGGGGAGGGTGAGAAAGGACATCCCAGCAGAGGAAGTAGCTTATGCAAAGGCAGGAAGCTCAGCAGGGCAGGGCATGTTTGGGGAGCTACAGATAGTGCTGCGTGGGCCTGTGCATGGGCCTGTGCGGTGGCAGAGGAGGGCGGCCCAGCGGGCCGGGCCAGAGCCTGGGTTTGTCCCTCTGTCACTCAGACCCAGCCTGAGGGTGCAGAAGCAGAGTGCCCGCTGAGCACCCGGCCTGCCCGGGCAGTGCTGTGGGGGGCCACTGAAGACAGCCTGTGTGCCGGCTCGGGGCTTCCATACTGGGGGCGACCTGGGGGCCATGAGAGTTGTGAGCCGGATCGGCACTGGCCTGCTGGTGCCTCCTGGGAACTGAGGAGGGCGCGGAACTGCCGAGTGGTCCCTGGAGAGACCCTCGGACCCCAGCCCGGGTTGAGAGGAGAGGAAGTGACCGTCCATCCATGTCGCATGTAACCTGTGTTGTACAGCCCAGGTTGCCAGGGTCAGGAAGGTGAAGATGGGCGTTGTAGCTGGCACGGACCCTGTGAGAGCCGCCTGCCTTTGGGTCCTTCCCCAGGTCTTCCCGCATGAGTGGGGCAGTGGCACCATCTAGAGACAGCAGGTGGAACTGCAGCGCCTCTGGCTGGGTGGGAGTGCATTGGGCCAGAGAAGTGGCCTGGCCTTAAGTCTGACTTCCTGTGGGAAGGATTTGTGGCACAGTGTGGGGGTGGGGTGCCACCCAGCCATTCTAACATGCTCCCCGAGAGGGTGTTTGAACATGAAGGACGGGCAGGGGGGAGCCGCGTGTTCAGAGGTTTAGGTGGGTGAGCACTCTAGGCCAGGGGTCATGTGTGTGGCCTGTGTCAAAGTTGCTAATGACCGACAGCTATGGAGCACGTGCTGGGCTGGCTGCTGGGCCCTGGGCCAGGCAGAGGCCTCATGCAAAGCATGGAATACGGCAGTGCTGTACGCAGGCGTCAGGGAGCTGGGGCTCCGTGAAAGCAAGGGAGGGAGGGGTCCGGCATCGTGGGACTCGGGGCCCACCTCTCCCAGGAGTTGAGGTTCTGACCGCTGTACCGTGTTGCTGGCAGCATTAAGTCCTGAACTGGGTTTAAATGACGTAAGATGTTCACGGGGCAGCAAGGGACCAGAGCCACGGAGAGCTGGGGCGACCCCAGGGACGGCACGCAGGTGAGAGCCTGGAGTCTGGGCCCGGGTGCCAGGTGAGGGGGAGCGCCAAGGACGGGTCCAGGATGGCCAGAGTGGAGAGCAGAGCGGGGCCGGGAAACCCCCGGGGGCCTGTTGGTGGGATCTGGAAGAGGCAGAGGCAAGAACTGGTGAAAACGACTTCGCCCCGCTGTGAGGGGTCTGGGGAGAGGACAGGGGGGGTTTCAGTGTAGGGTCAGTTGGCCCTGCACCCAGGTGTGGAGGGAAGCCGGGGTCTGAGGTCTGCAGTGACTCTCTGATTCAGGAGCATGTACCTCTGGGGGCCCAGCCCAAGGGCTGGTACGGACTCAGGTGGCAGGAGGTGAGACCCACCGGAGCCCCTTGCCACTGGGAGGAGCAGCAGGTGCTGGGCTTCGAAGGCCTGCGGTCAGGCCTAGGAAGTGTTGGGGACTCACAGAGGCACCCCACCTGGACAGGCTTTGTGGGAGCCCGGGGAGGGAGGGGAGCAGAACTTGAGTGCAGCGCAAGTTCTAGGGGCCCAGAGAGGTCAGGAAGGACCTGTGTCTCTGGCTTAGCCCAGAAGGGGCAGGGCCTGGGGTGGGGTGCGGGCTGGAGGGATGGTCGGGAGGCCTGGGTGACAGCGGCGGCCCTGCCTGGGGAACGGGGAAGAGGACCTCTCATAGCTTCCTCCCCACACCAGGGCTCAGCCCGACCTTGCATCCTGCAGCCCCAGTGCAGGCCGCCCGGGGCCTGGTGTGTTGTTGGAGGAATGAATGAAGGGATGGGGAAGCACCCCAGGCCGAGGCCACGGGGAGGCCCCACCGGAGCCCAGTTTCCTGACTCCTGCTGTTTGGGGCGGGCAGTTCCACCAGGCCCGAGAGCTAGCACAGAACCCCAGAGGCGGGAGGTTGGAGGGCCCCCTTCCTGTGCCTAACACGGACACCCCGCTCTTCCTCGCAGGTGTCCCCCGAGAAGCGCCGCTGTGCAGTGGGCAGCATTCTGAGCGAAGGCGAGGAGTCGCCCTGCCCGGAGCTCCTCCAGCTCTACCAGAAACTTGGCTTCAAAGTGTTCTCCTTCCCAGCACCCAGCCACGTGGTGACGGCCACCTTCCCCTACACCACCGCCCTGTCCATCTGGCTGGCTGCCCGCCGTGTCCATCCTGCCTTGGACACCTACATCAAGGTGAGCCAGGCCTGTGTGTGTGTGTGTGTGTGTCGGGGAGCGAGAGGGTGCAGCCAGGGAGGGCTCGGCAGGCTGGGACAGGGAGGCGGTGTTGGGGGTGCTGCATGGGGCTCTCGTGGGACAGGTGCCTGTGGGGCTGGGGGCGCGGGCAGCGCCTGCCGGCGTCTCTGCCAGAGGCCCGAGACTGGAGCATGGGCCCCGGCGGGTCTTGTACGGGCACAGGGAGCATGTTCGGAACCCCAGCCTGACCAGTTCAGCTCCAGCTTGGGCCAGAGACACGCTCGGTTGCCGGCCCCCGCTCTAGACTCAGACAGATGGACGGGCCCCCCCCTGCCCCCCCTGCACTAGAGGCCTGCAGAGCAAGGGCCTGAGGCTCCCGGCGGCTGGCGGGCCCCCAGCGTGCATGCGGTGGCCGTGGTCCTGCCTCTGCGCGGGCTCACATACCTGGGTCCCGAGCCCAGGCCGGGGCGGCGGCGGCAGGCCTCGTGCCCTTCCGCCCTCGATCCCGGTTGGCAGCGCCCCAGACCGTCCGCTCGGAGGAGCAGGAGGGCCAGCCGCCCGGGGATCCGATGGGGTCTCTGCCCACAGAGAGTTCCTTTTCGCCTTTCCTAGTTCCACATCCCCCTTTCTCTGAAACACTTTGTGAGCCTGGGTGCAAGGGCAGTGACCCCAGTTTTGACTGAAGTGGTTCTTCAGTCTCCCGGACTCCGCTGTGTTGACCGAATGTCTGGGCGTGGGGTGCTGTGCTGGACGCGGTGCGAGAGGTGTGGGGCGGGGGCGTTCCCAGTGAGGCGTGGGGACGGGTCACACATGTCAGGCAAGGATGGGACGCGTGCCAGGAGAGAACCAGCTGAGCCAGACGTGGGGGCGGCCCCTCGGAGGAGTGCCCTCTCGGGCAGGCCCCGGAGGAGCCCTCGGGAGGGGCGTGGGAGAGCAGGGGTCTGGTCTGACGCCAGCGAGGTCACCGCGGGGTTTCGGCAGGAGAGTGACGGGACCTGAGCCGAGCCGTGCCGTACAGGCCGCCCCGGCCCTGGGCGGGGGGCCTATCAAGGATCCTGGGGGCCACTGTGAGTCCCAGCGTGGGTGGGCTTGGACTGAGATCGTGGCTGCAGAGAGGCAAAAGGGTAGAGATCTACCATCCCTTTGGGGGTGGGGGTGACACATGGACTTTGGATGGGCTGGGTGTTGGGGAGGGAGGGAGCGGGAGGAGTCCTGGGCTGGGGTCCCCTGTGGCCGGGGCAGAGGGGTGCATGTGCAGTGGCGCTGTGCAGAGCCTGGAGAGCTGGGGGGTCCTGGTCTTGGGGGCAGCCGGCACCATGGGTTGTGTTGGGGCAGCAGAGCCTGGAGCTCAGAGAGGGCAGGGCTGGTGCGCATGTTTAGGGCCAGGAACCTGCCGACAGCACTTGCCCTGGGGACGCCCTGGGGCGGCCCGGGCCGCGCAGAGGGTGCAGCCAGTGCAGCTGGGTTAGAGCACAGAAGGAAGTCGGCGGGAACGTGAGCCCTGGCAGCTTCGCACTTGGTTCCCGGGCAGCCCGAGGAAAGGGACAGGGCCTTGGTGATGGACGTGGGGGCCCAGAGAGGCCCTGGCTCGGGGGGGCACGAGAGTCTGGCGTCGGGGCCGGGAGTGAGTGAGTGGGGCCCTGGGTCGGCAGCCGTGGCCCCGGCGGTCGAGATCAGGAGGAGAAGCAGCAGGAGGGCTGCTGGCATGGTCCGGCGGCGGCACAAGGGAGACTGAGGCGAATTTCTCAGGGAGCCAGAGGGTGGCAGCCAGGAGGGTGCTGGCAGGGTGTGCGTGCCTCGGGGCAGGGGTGCCGAGGCTGAGGGGCAGGTGGGGCAGGAGGTGGGGGCTGGCTGGTTGTGAGGGCAGAAAGGGAGGCCCCGGCACCCAGGGCTGGCAGCGTGTCTCCTGGGGGCACGGGGGGGCTCACCCAGCTCGCCCAGCTCACCCGGGGAAGGGCTGGGTGTGACGTCCCCGGTTCTGTGTGTCTCCCTCCATCCACGGGCCAGTCCGGAGGGCCGCCCGTGGGAAGAGGCGTTCTGGGTTCCAGACCTCTGAACAGCCTGCGTGCCATGTGGTGTGGTGGCGAGGGACTCAGCCCCCAGAGCCTTTTCTGGCTCTAGGGTGCCTATTTTTAGACACCTTTGTCCACATTTCCCGGCCCCTGACAGCTTCACAAGTGGCCTGGTTTTGACGTCACCTCTTTGATGAAAGCCCTTCCTCCCCCCTCCTCCTCCCACCGCCCCTGGTCAGCTGTGCCCCAGCTTGACTCTCCTGGGGTGGGGCGGGGGCGGGGGAGTGCCGTCCCCTCTCCCCGCCTGAGACGGGTGGCCCGGGCAGTGGGGAGAGCAGAGGTCTTCTCCAGGGGTGTCTGTGTGGCACAGGGGCCTGGCCGCCAGCTGGGAGAGAGGTGCCAGGCTGCCCACCTGCAGTGTGGCCCAGGCGCTTGGCTGGGTGCTCTGTGTGTTTAGCCTGACCAGGCATCCTGGGGAACAGAGCCAGGTGACAGACGAGGAAGAGGCTGGCTCTGCTTTTGGTCCCAGCCTGCACGGAACAGAGGGTGGCTCTGCGCCTCCCTCAGCCCTGGCGGCGGGGAGAGAGACTAGAGGCCTCCTCCCGCACCTGCCCTCAGCCCCGCTGCCTGGGGCCCGGGAAAGGAGGCTGCGAATGAGGCTCTGGGCTCCTCTGACTCCCGGCCCTGACAGCTGGCTGCCTTCAACTGCATGTGCGCGTGCGTGCACATGTGTGTGTGAGTGTGTCAGCGGGCACGCCCTTCTTTTCCTCCACCTGTCTGGCTTCTCCCTGCTCTGAGGCTGGCTCCGCCGTGGAGGGGTGCACAGGGAGTGACGGCAGCCTTGGGCGTCTGTTTCAGGAGGGGGAGGCGTGGCAGGGAAAGACCTGAGCCCCCTGGCAGTGGCAGAGGGGCCTGAGCCTGGGGCAGGAGTGGTCTCCTGGGACGGCGAAGGTCTTGGGGGTCACTGTGAGGGACCTGAAGAGAACCATGTGTCAAGCCCCCGTGGGGGTTCTGGGAGGGCGCTGCATCCCAGCACTGCGGTCTGCGCGGCAGCCCCTGGCCCAGATGTCAGCCCAGAGCAATAGAAGAGGCCCCCAAACTCACCCCGGGGGGCTGGTCCTAATGAGGAGGCCGGGCCTGCGGAGCAGCCAGGACACGGCGGGCGGCCCGGGGATGCCGTGTGCGGGAGGGTATGTGGGCGGCCCCCGGGCTCTGTACGGGGCTCAAGTCTGTCTGTGGCAGGTGTAGGGGGAGGTCGAGGACCGTGTGACGCTGGCAGCCCAGCCCCCCTGGGCCTGACTTCCTGTCAGCGGACTGTCATCTTCTGCACAAAGCCCCCGTCCCCAGGGCCTCTGCTTTCCGGGAGTTTCCAGGGGGAGGGCCCTGGTGACGTCTGGGCATCTTCTGAGTGTGGGGGGCACAGGGCCTGGTGTGAGTGGAGGCCGGTGGGCTGGGAGGGGCCCTGGAGGTCAGACGCCGGCTCTTTCTGCACAAAACTGGAGAGGAACTGGGGCCGGGGAGTGTAGTAAGCCAGCAGACAGCTGTCACGTGCTCTGTCTTTGCATAGTAAGTGTTCGGTTGAGCACAGTGCCACTCACCCAGCACCTGCAGCACGCTACAGACTTGGCTAAGCATTCTCTGTCTGCTGAGTACTACTCGCCCCGGTTCATCATGGCACCCAACAAGATAATCCGCAAACGTCGAATGAGCAGCCAGGGGGGCGGCTGGGTTGACGGGGTCGTCCTGCCAGGGGTTGGAAGTGGCCGGGGAGCCCAGACCATGGCTCCCAGTCTGCTCTAAGCAGGAGCCCCGGGCTGTGCCAAGGTGGCCCCGTGGCTGGAAGCCAGGGGTGAGGGACTGCACGCAGACCCTGACCTGCTGTGACCAGAGTGGCTCTGCCTCTGGGCATCGCCATCTGAGCTTCTGTTTGGAGCTGTGAAAGGCTGCCCCGAAGTGCTTCCTGGGTGGAAGACAAAGCTCGGAGCGTCCCTGAGGAGCCCCGCAAAGGTGACAGACACGGAGGGAGAGATGGCCCCGATTCTGCATCCCGTGGGGAGCATTCTCGCCTGGACTCACACTGCCAGGGCCATGCTGACCCAGCGGGGTGCTGGCCCCGGCCCAGGCGAGGGCGGCCAGTGCCAGGAGCAGAGGCAGGAAGAGCCCGGCCGCCCGTGTGCCCAGCAGGCGCTCGTCAAGGAGGGCTTGGCGGCCGCCCCGGGCACAGGAGGCAGCTGCTGCGGGGCCCCCTGGGCCCCGTGCCCTCGCCCTGAGTGCGGTGCAGACAGCTGCACTCCCAGATCCCTGCGCCGGGGCACTGCGGCTCCGGGTCAGCTCGCTCGCCAGTGCTGCTGCCTGCCGGTCAGCCTGCCCTGGCCCAGAGAGGAGGGCGTTCTCAGCAGCGCTGGGGCTGGGGGCTGAGGGACAGGCCCCCGAACTCTTTCACCGTTGAGCCCCCAGCCTCCAGGTTTAGCCACATCAGGGGGCAGGGCGGTGGGTAGGGACGGATGGGATGGCTTCACTGGGACAGGCAGAGCAACCTCGGGGTGGGGCAGCGGGGCTGAGACTGAAGGATGGGCGGCGTTCTCCGGGGCGGGAGGGCGGGGCAGGCTCTGCGTGTCCACCCGGCTCGAGTGCAGGGTGGGAGCGAGAGTTCAGGCCCAAGAAACAGGGCCGTGTCCCGCGGGCGCTCGGGCACCACTGGCGAGTCGGAATGGATGAGTGACAGGTCCAGGCCGGGCTTCGGAACAGGCTTGAGGGAGGTGGGCGGGGGGGGGCGGGGGCCACAGCCGAACTCTGAACGAGGGAAACAGAAGTTCACTGAGAGTAGCATTGCCTCTCTGCTCCCATGTACCCCGAGCTTAGAGGGGACCCCTCCTCCCACCATGCCCCAGCATGTGGAGACGTGGGGGCACCCACTGGAGGCCAGACCTCGCTCCCCCCCCCCACCGGCCTGGGCCCTGGAACCCGCTCCTCAGCCTGTCTGGCTTC